AGGATGGCTGGTGGGTTTGAACCGCCAGCCTTCTGGTTAGCAGTCAAGTGCCCTAGGCACTATGCTACCAAAGCTCCTTCATATATATATAATATATATATATAAAATTATCTCATTTAAACTTCACAACCTATTAAAATAATTCCATTTTTCAAATGAAAAAAAGCCCTACATTACTCTCTTCTAATATTTATTCCCTATCATAGGTCAGAAGCTATTTGGAATTTTTACAAGTAGTACCTTCGATAACTGAAGTAGTTTTACAGATATATTTTTGGTGCTTCTCACTTTGCTCCATCTATAACTATGTTGAGTTTGTCTATGGTTACTACTGAAAACAGTGTCACAAAATCTGTATTCTTCTAATTTCTTTTGAAACTTCTTGGACCCACCTATTGTAATTTACAAATGTGTTGTTTAATCTGTTGAGATTTCTCTCTTTTCATTATTGATTTAAATTCCCTTGTGGTGTGAGGCCGTACTTTGGATGGTTTTTAGTATTTTAAATTTGTTAAGGTATGATTTATGGCCTGGGATGTGGTCTGTCTTGGTGAACAAATCTTTAGAGATTTGATATTACAGCCAACTTTGAAAGGATTTTACTTAGGATCTAAGACCCTGATCCTCTGATTCCTTTCTTTCCTTCTTTCTTCTAAAAACTTTCAGGTTTTTAGTTAAAAGTTTTTTGTCCCATTTATCATTTCTTTAGAGTTGCTTTTTAAAAATAAGGTATTATTTCTTAAACTGTTCTTCTTTTCGCGGTTTTTCTTGAACTCGATACTAATGGCAATCAAAGTACATTAAAATAAGGTAAGAAGTTAAAAAACATAATACTTTGGTTTGTCCTTAAATGTTTAAGTGTGGCTATTGTATCATGGTCAGTCATTACATTAAAAACAAAGGCTCTGTGCATCAAATTAAAGGACAAAGCAATCCTTCTTTCAGAACACTCAGGGCATTATGAAATGTTGGCAGATCAGCTTCCAAAAAACTATAGAATCCAGAATACATGGATTGTACAAATAACTATTTTGCATAAATCTTAGTTGTTTTGTACCATAATTTCCCCAAGTAGAAAGATGTAGCAGTCTGCTTCCATAAAGATTATAGCCTTGGAAACACTATGGGGCAGTTCTACTTGCCCTACAGGGTTGCTTTGAGTTGCATTCGACTTGATGGCAGGTTTGGGTTTTTTTTTTTCCTTTTTTTTTTGTAAAATAGGGATATTTTTTGGTCCCTACTCTGTTAGAATATAAAAGCTATTATAATATGACTATGTTTCAATATTACAAGGTCATTCATTTTTCTTATGCTGTTTTATTCCTAAACCTGGAACTGTTTCAATGAAGTCTTATTTTTGTGGTCTAACTACTAAGCTTCTATAGTTCTCCTGCGGAATCAGTTTACTATTTATATGTGAGCTAGTAGTGTTTCTGGTAGCATAGTGCCTAAGGCACTTGACTGCTAACCAGAAGGCTGGCGGTTCAAACTCACCAGCCACTACCCAGAAGGAAGGTTGGGCAATCTACTTCCATAGTGATACTGCCTCGGAAACCCAAGGAGGGGTCACTCTGAGTCGGGTCCAACTCGACGGCACATAACAACAAGGTAGTGTTTCTTATTGATCCATATATTAGTTATACTTTAGCTAGCAGCTTAAGGATAGAAACCATATATATATATACCCTGGAGTTTTGAACATAGGTAGGAACAAACTATTTTTAGCGTCCCTCATCATCTGTTGCCCCTTGACTATTCTGCCTTCAGCCTTCTAATCTACATTATTCCAGAGCAGTATTTTCACTTGTTGTTATGTGCCGTTGAGTTGGAACTGACTCATAGCGACCCCTCCTTGGGTTTCCGAGGCAGTATCACTACGGAAGTAGATTGCCCAATCTTTCTACCGAGGAGTGGCTGGTGGGTTTGAACTTCCAGCCTTCTGGTTAGCAGTCAAGTGCTTTAGGCACTACGCTACCAGAGCTCCCAGTATTTTCACTACACAGTTCTATTTAGCCTTTAAAATTTTTTGGTTGGTAAATAAACTTTGGATTTCATAAACATATATTATAATAAATGAAGATAATATACTATGCAAAAATGAAAATTATTGCAGGTCTGAGTTCATTTTACTTCCATTTTTTTTTTTTTTTTATTATTGCTAGAGAGGGCAATGTATTATTTAAGAGAACTTTGAGCTCTTTTGAAGAAATATTGGTGTTTTTAACTATTATTAGTACCTTACCAACTTTGCTTTGAGAACAAAGCAAGCCACCTCATTTTCCAGTCTCAGTGTGTGGTAACACTTCTCATTCATTAAATAGTGCCAGGCTCTAGGGGTTGGGTGAAAGCCCCTCAACCTTGCGCTTCAACTCTGCTTCCAGCCCACTGAAGCTAGAAGCTTTTCTTCAGACAGCTGCTGGCTGCTGAGGCTGACAAACCCAAGGTTGACAGGTAAAAAGGCACAGTCCTGATGTTACTAAAGTACACAGCAGGTCATTGATTCAAGTCTACTGAAAGTCCCAGGGTCAGCAGAGCATGGCAGGCTGAACAATGACACAACTACTTGCAGGGTTCAAGCATGCCATAAGCTAGAGACTGTTCCCAAGGCTTCTCCTTATGTACAGGAAGCAGATCACATCCCTAAGGCAGCTACTCACAATAGATTCCACCAGGGAGTTGACTACCAGTCTTATCATGGGGAATACTACATCCAGCTGCCCACCCACTCAACCAGACCCAGCCAAGTTGACACACAAACTTAACTACCACAATGATTATCTCTTTTCTTTAAAAAAGGACAGCACGAGAAATCATATTTCAAGGATCAAGTTTTAATGAATTTGAACAGTAGGCACAGGTTTCCAGATAGCAAGATACTCAGGCAAAGCTCCATTTTCAACTGCTTTTTGCTTCTTCTATCTTTTAATCCTTTTGGCTAGGAATGGGAGAATGAGTGTACTCTTTCTTCTTAGAAGCAAGAGTTTCCTGTATAGAGGCTATCGTTGGTTGCTTGCTTGGTTTTTTTTTTTAACAATTGATCATCAAAATTTCTATGACTTCTTAAGTAAATATTTTTTTATATTTTATTTCCATCCTCCTTACCACTACTAGCTTGGTTGTTGCCTCCTAGATCCTGGTGAGTTTTCTATGGTTGAATGATGCCTTTTAAATTCTGTATCAACACAGACTCTTTTTGTTGGTTTCTCCAGAATAGTACTTTCTTCCTCTAATATGTCATTACAGTCCCTTTTGGCTTTTGTTTCTTCCTCATGGAATAAACGTGGGTTCTCAATACGTCCCCTACGTACAAAATGCTCAATCCGGGATTCCAATCCTTGGCATTTTGGGCGATCCATTAAGGGCTTATATGTGCGCATTTTCACTCCTTCTACAAAGGCACTGGTGTGCTTTATAATAGAGGGCTTAACATTTCTCCATTCAATCACTCCATCCATGTTTGGTCCTATAATTACATAATCAAGCATTACATGGATACTCTGTCACAAGAGAATCACCTCCATATGTTATATAAAACTACTTCCACCCGTAGCCCCATATAACTTTGGTTCTGGTCATTTTACCTGTGAATGTCCCTGCCATACCTTTCTCACAGGGCACTGCCACAGACTCCAGTCCTTGCAGCATACTATACAACATTTGAGTTTTAACAGCATGATTAGCCCATAGTTGTTGTAAGTGGGTAACATTGAATTCCTGAACCTCTCGGTCATAAATCCACTTGAGATTTTCAAACTTACAGTCATATAAGACCAGAGGAAATTCCACAGCCATACTAGAGAGAGAAGGAAAAACAGATTTTAAGAATACATAGCAACCATCCAACAGTTTAAACCAACCAACCAACCTGAGGGTTAATTGAGCTTTAAAAAAAAAAAAAAAGCGGGGGCGGGGGGTGCTACTGGTATCAATATTGAGTATCTAATAGCTAAGAAAATGTATTCTCTCTAATCTTGAACAGTTTAAAATAATTTTTAAAAAGAAACAAAAAGGCAACAGATCATGGGTCAGCTGGTTAGGTTTGATCTGTATTAGGGTAAATCTCAATGGTAGTCAGTGACCTAGAAATATTCACTTGGCCCCACCATCTGTTTAGTGCCTAAGGCATTTGACTGCTAACCAGAAGGCTGTCAGTTCAAACCCACCAGCCACTCCTCGGAAGGAAGGTTGGGCAATCTACTTCCGTAAGGACACCACTTTGGAAACCCAGAGAGGGGTCATTGTAAGTTGGATCCGACTTGATGGCAGTGAGTTTGTTTTTTTTTGTTTTAGTGGTATTTTTCCAAACTTGTTAACTGAATTCCAATTTTCTATAGTATGGAGTAAAAACTAGATTTCACTACTTACCAAACTAAACTCACTGCCATTGAGTCGATTCTGACTCACAGCGACCCACACTGAGTTTTCGAGGCAGTATATCTTAACAGAAGTAAATTGCCCAGTCTTCCTTGCGCAAAGTGGCTGGTGGGTTTGAACTGCCAACCATCTAGTTAGCAGTCAAATGCCTTAGGCACTATGCTACCAGAGCTCCTTCAATTTCACTACTTAGGAATGAATTATTGATATTGATTTGACTTCAGCTTGCTCTCAAGAGAAAAATATGACTATACTTTCAACCTTTCCCACTGTTTCAGAAACTGAAAATTGGGAGTCAAATGTACAGTAGTACCAAATACTAGTCAGTAATACAAAATAAGATCTAATGTGAATAGTTTAATGCTTCCTTTAAGTTTACTAGAACCTAACAATAGTACCTCTTAACATAAATTAGGAACCAAAGAAGATGTGGAGATGAATGTTCTTATATTAAAGGGGCCTGGTTCAAACACCTATTTCCCTACTAATGGGATAGAACAGTGAGAGAGAAAAATTGAAAATTCCATACACCTCCAAATATTCATAACCATTTATAAGTTGTATTAAAAGCTTCATGAAGGCAGAATCCTAACTATGAGGGGCCACGGGGGTGGGGGGAGGGTTACTGGGCAGGGAGGGGAGGAGACTGGGTTAGGGTTGGGCATGGTAAATGGGGAGTGAAACTAAATGTACATGTAATGTCAAATGTAAAACAAATTCTTAAAATATAATTGTGAGTTTACAATAATCTCAAAAATTTTTTTTTTTTTTTAAAAAAAAAAAAGGGCAGAATCAGTCATTTGGTTATTCAGGCAATCCTGGGAGCTAGGAGGAGATGTATTTATGTTAGTCAAGTGAAAAATAATTACAAGGGCAATAGGTAGGTTTTTGTTTTTTGTAAGGGGGTGGTATTTAAAACTTATGTACCTGTATTGAGGTTTCTGAGAATTTTTCTCAATGTTCAGCAGCTCGTCAATAATCTCTGGTTTCTCCATCCCTTGGCCAATCAAAAAGAGGATAGCCATCATACAGCGGACTTGATGGTAAAGGAATGCCTGGCCAGTCACTTCAAACTGACATAACTGGAAAGGTTCTTGCCATCTCCCCTCACTCAGGCTCTGACCCACTAGCTGTACTTGAGCAGACAGAATAGTCCTCTGAAAATTAATCACTCCATTGGCTACATCCATTTTACATAAGTTCCTGAAATCATGTGTGCCAACATACTTCTGAGCTGCATAATTCATGATTACAATATCTAAATCTGCACGAGGGAAAAAATAGCGATATGTCCGCTCAAGACAACTGAACCTAGCACTGAAGGTAGGTTCGACAGGGGCCCAGGCCAGTATGCGGATGTCTGGAGGGAGCACCCGATTGAGAATGTGGGTATAACGGATCTCTTTAGTAGTATCATTGACTTTGTCTTTTAAATTAAAATCCTCTGAATCCTTGTTCATTAGAAAGTGAGAACGAAGGTCAAGAGATATCACCTGTGGAATTAGAGAAAGATATTCTGGTTTAGAGATGTAACTAATCTGAGTTCTCGGTACAAACATATCTAGAATATTTGTTATTGCTTACTTTACCTGTCCAAAGGCACTAACTCCTTTGTCTGTTCGCCCACACCGGTGATAATTGGATGTCTGTCTACTTTCTACAAGTCGAGTCTTGGTTAATGCCTCAAACAGCTTCTCTTCAATGGTATTGTTTGTGTTTTCCTGACTGGCAAAACCCTGGTAACTCCAGCCCAGGTAGGCTATCCTTAGAGCTACATGTCTTTGGCCATGAGCGCTGAAGTCAAATGCACGCTTAGCTTTTCTACTTCCTGAAGAATCTTCTCTTCTGTTTGAGTCCTTGTTGACCTGCTCCTTTTTAAGTCTTTGCACCTCCTCCTCTAGTTCTTGTACTCTTTTTAGGAGTGTCTCAGTCTGGCTTCTGTCTATGTCATTTTCAGCCATGATATGACAACCCCAGGAATAAATAAATCATACAGTTCCACCCTACCTGAAAAGAGAGCATAAAGATAAAACAGTTTCAGTGCTGATTCATTTGTTGTTGTTATGTGCCATCGAGTCGGCCCCGACTCATAGCGACCCCTCCTTGGGTTTCTGAGGCAGTATCACTACGGAAGTAGGATTGCCCAACCTTCCTTCCGAGGAGTGGCTGGTGGGTTTGAACCGCCAGCCTTCTGGTTAGCAGTCAAGTGCTTTAGCCACTATGATTCATTTAGTGATGTATCATTCCACTATGCTCAAGTAGTACCTAAGATTTAATTTAATGCCCTAAGAATAGAGACTTGCTTTTACCCAGGGATAGAGCATAAGCTTAATTATTAAGGGTTAATTATCCATTTTATATAGTATTTCAAAAGGAACTCTTGTGGTATAGTGGTTAAGGCATTAGACTGGTAACCTAAAGGGTGGTGTGAACCCACCAGCTGCTCTGTGAAAGAAAAATGAGGCAGTCTGCTTCCATAAAGGTTTATAGTTTTGGAAACCCAGTGGGGGTCACTATGAGTCAGAATTGACTCAATGGCAGTGAGTTTGGTTTTTACCTTTATGTAATATTTCAGATATTATTATCTTCCATCCTGTCTGGCCAATTCATAGGGGGAAAGGAAAGTAGCATGAAATATTCTGCTGTCATTGTTAAGGTTTGTTTTTTGAAATCAAATTATAGGGAAATATCTATAAATTTCATTTTTCTATTCTTTTTAGCTGAGATGATTGAGGGATGATTTCATTGAATTCAGTTTTTTCCCCTAAAATATTCCCTTTTGGTCTCTCATATTTGTCCAATTCTTCTAATCATGTTCTTTCTTTATGTGGAATACATGTCTAATCTGAGATTTCTTTTGCTTTCAGTATTTCAGGTAAGTAGCTCGTATGCTCTATCATCTAATATTCATTTCTTTTTAAAGGTGGTATAATAGAAACTAACTGAAACAACTTATCAATGATTATACTTCATATTGGAGGTAAAGCCTGGAGACAAAGTTGTCCCACTTTAAGTAATTTTGATGGCGGAAAGAAGGTAATTACTGCTTCAAATTTTTTTTTTTTTTTTTTAAAGAAAAATATAATGCATGTTCTGATAAAAGATTTCTGTACTTCTAGTAGTTACAGGGAACAGTCTAGATAAGGTAATTTAGATGGCAATGTTGAAATTCTTGGCATATTTCAGTAATAAAGATGAGAACAGTTGTACTGCCATCCTTAAAATTGTGACAGGCCTAGACAATCTATGAGTGATGGTTAACTTGAGTTAGAGTTACTTCCATATCGATTTAAATACTATGGTTACCTAGGCTTAGGTAGCTCATTTAGTGTTTAGTCCTTTAATTTTCTGTTTAAATGTTTAAAGGGGAGGGGGGACCTATAAAAGTACTAGAAGAAAGCACAGAAGTAACTTTTTTTAAAAAAAATCTTGGTGTGCAAAAAAGACATTTCTAAGCAAGACACTAAACCTAGAAACTATAGAAAACCAAAAACTTTGACTATCTAAAACTGTAAGGTTTTACCCAGAATCCGTACCCCAAAAATCATAAAGTAAAAAGGTAAATACTGGAAGAAAAATTAATGATGGTATGGGGTAAATTCCTTAATATCTAAGTAAAAATATAAACACTTCATTAATACATAAGTCAGTTTTAATATAAAGATGAATAAGAAAAAAGGAAAAATCAAGGTTATAAGATACGAAAAAATGCTCAATTTTACTAAAAAAAATGCAACTTTATGAGAACTATTTTTTACCAAACTGATTGCAAAAGATGAGAAAGTGTGATAGTACACTACTTTGTAGAGGAAATGGTATAAATTCTTTAGAATGGATTTTGGCAACAGTTATCACAACACATACCTTTTGACCAACCTATTGCAATTCTGGCTAAGGCACTTGACTGCTAACCAGAAGGCTGGCGGTTCAAACCCACCAGCCACTCCTCGGAAGAAACATGGGGCAATCTACTTCTGTAGTGATACTGCCTTGGAAACCCAAGGAGGGGTCGCTATGAGTCAGGTCCGACTTGACGGTACATAACAACGTTGCAATTCTAGAACTCAAACCTCCAAATACTTAAAAATTTACAAGATATTCATTATAACACTAGTTTTTAACAACCAAGCCCACTGCCATCGAGTTGATCCTTACTCATACCAACATAAGATTTTATCAGGAAGGGACGGCTGAGTAAATTGTGGTGTATTCATACATTGGAATTCTATGCAATTTAAACAAAAATGAAGTAAATCTACATGTGCTAATATAGCTGGAGCACCAAGATTACTTTTAAAGTTTCGAAGACTTGTATAATAGCTCCTATATAGTATTTTTTAAAATGTACATATCAGCAGTGCATTGTGGTTATACACACACACACACACACACAGATGGAAACTTCTGGAGAGATAATAACTGCCTTTGATGAATTTTCAAGTGTTCTGGTTGGCACAATGGTTAGGCACTCAGCCACTAACTGAAAGGTTGGCAGTTCAAACCTATCAGCTACTCTGCTGGAGAAAGATCTGCATGTTAACTTAAGATTACAGCCTTGGAAACCCATAGGGCAGTTCTACTCTGTCTCACAGGATCACTATGACTTGGAATCGACTCAACAACACGGATAACAGGTTTGCGAGTCTTGACAGATTTTTTTTCAGTTCAAAAAGAAAAAAAAACAGTGGGGATACACAGAAATAGTGGGCAATCAATACCTATTTTAGGCCCAGTCAGGAAACTAGTATGGGGTATTTAGCAATTTCATTTGGGTACTAAAAGTACAGGGAGCTCTTGTAGCATAGTGCCTAAAGCACTTGACTGCTAACCAGAAGGCTGGCGGTTCAAACCCACCAGCCACTCCTTGGAAGGAAGATGGGGCAATCTACTTCTGTAGTGATACTGCCTTGGAAACCCAAGGAGGGGTCACTATGAGTCGGGTCTGACTCGATGGTACATAACAACAACAACTAAAAGTACATACATACATACATATGTACATGTACACAAAAATACTCATAAGTGTGTGTGTGAAAAATACTGCTGTTGTGATGGTTTTTTTTAAGTTAAATCACTCTTACAGTTAAGAGCAATGGCTTTCCATGTAGAAGATCCAAGTTCATTTCTGGTCAGTGTACCGCGTATGTAGCCACCACCTGTCTAATAGTGAAGGAGTGTGTGTTGCTGTGGTACTAAACAGATTTCATTAGAACTTCCAGACTCAGACAGAGTAGGAAGAAAAGTCTGGTGATCTACATCTGAAAAATCAGCCAATGAAAACCCTATGGACCATAGTCAAATCCCATTATGCACTGGATGGGATTACCATGAGTCAGGGGCTGACTGGAGGGCAGCTAAAAAGAGCATGGCTTAGAGCAAGGACTCTGAAGTCAGGCTGCTTTAGCTAAAATTCCATCTCCAGCATTCACTAGCTGTATATCCTTTGGCAAGTTATTTAACTTTTCTATGAATCATGTTAGTGATCTGTGAAGAGGAGATAGCAAGAGTACCTATCCCACAGTCATAAGGATTACATGAATTAATAAATGTCAATCACACAGAACAATGCTAGGTACAGAAAAATGCCCTCTGAGTACTTAATGTATTATACTCCACACCATTGTAGTATTGAGCTTTTCTTATGCCAGAACTCCCCTATCCTATCCTAGGAGCTACTAAAAGTGGCAAGAACTACCATGCAGTAGAAAGTGGGAGTAAGAAGAGAGTGGAAATGAAAGCAGGTAATAGATGCCCTAGAGCTAAGTTAATACCCCTCCAAAGTATTCTCCATACTACCCTGTGTTGTTGTTGTTGTTATGTGCCGTGGAGTCGAACCCAACTCATAGCGACCCCTCCTTGGGTTGCCGAGGCAGTATCACTACGGAAGTAGATTGCCCCATCTTCCTTCTGAGGAGTGGCTGGTGGGTTTGAACCGCCAGCCCTCTGGTTAGCAGTTAAGTGCCTTAGGCACTATGCTACCAGAGCTCCTATACTACCCTGTTGTTGTTGTTTGCTGTCGAGTCGGCCCCGACTCATAGCGACCCCTCCTTGGGTTTCCGAGGCAGTATCACTACGGAAGTAGGATTGCCCAACCTTCCTTCCACGGAGTGGCTGGTGGGTTTGAACCGCCAGCCTTCTGGTGAGCAATCAAGTGCTTTAGGCACTATGCTACCAGAGCTCCTATACTACCCTATACTAACCCTGTATTGTAGCACAGCACTTAACTGTATTCGCCTTAGCCACCCTTTCTACATTTGCCTGCTATAAACTAATAGACAAGAAGGGAAGAAACAATGTATAAGCTAGGAATCTATCATCAGGAAACTGACCGGTTTTTTTCTCTTACAGAAGGCCCTACAGTGTAGAGGAAGCAATGGAGGAACTCGTGGGACCTAATGGGAAAAAATGGGCCAATATGGATCCAGAAGAACGAATGTTAGTGGCTGCTAAAGCGTTTACCCAGCTATGTGCAGGGCAGGGTGCGGGAGATGTCAGGAGAGAAGCCCAATCTACCCAGTATGATCCCTATAGTAAAGCTTCAGTAAGCCCAGGGAAGCAACCTGCTGCTTTTCCTTTACAAGTGCAGTACCCACACATGGAAAATATCACTTCAGAAACAGTCCCAGGGGCCTCCCAAAGACTCCGAAAGCCAGTGATGAAGAGGAAGGTGCTGCGCAGAAAGCCAGATGGGGAAGTATTAGTGACAGATGAGTCAATTATCAGTGAATCCGAGTCTGGTACAGAAAGTGATATGGATCTCTGGGACTTAAGACAAAGGCTGATGAATCTGCAGTTCCAGGAAGACAGGGAATCCCCAGGTGAAATTTCACAAAAATTTAATGTACCACACGAATACCAAAGACTTACTCAAGGAGATCAACTCATTTACTATCTTGAAAGAGAAGGAATGGGCCCCCCAGCTTATGAACAAGACCTGATTGTTGCCAGCCGACCCAAATCCTTTATTCTTCCAAGGCTGGACCAGTTAAGCCGAAACCGGGGCAAGATAGACCGGGTAGCCCGATATTTTGAGTACAAACGAGATTGGGACGCAATGCGGTTACCTGGTGAAGATCATAGGAAGGAATTACGCTGGAGTGTCCGAGAGCAGATGCTTTGTCGAGCAGAACCCCACTCCAAGCCTCAGCACATATATGTTCCAAACAATTACCTAGTACCAACTGAGAAGAAAAGATCTGCCCTTCGATGGGGTGTTCGTTGTGACCTTGCAAATGGTATCATGCCCAGGAAGCTCCCCTTTCCTCTTTCTCCTTCTTAAAATCCTTTTTTACCTGTCTCTCACAGAATTGTTTGGGATAAACTGGTTCTTTGTATTTCTTTTAAATAGAAACAACTCACTTCAAAAATCTATGGAACATATAGAGTAAGAACTTCTCCTATCATTGGTCTTTCCTAGCTATTTATCAAGTGGTTAGATACCATTTAACTTCTGGCTCTCAATTCTAGTAGTTATAAGAAATCATGCCAGAGAAAGAAAAACAGGCCTGGTCTTACTGTTTTGTCAGATTAGTAAAATGAGTCAGTGGACACCATTTCTATTCCATAACTTTTTTCCTTTTGGCCAGTGTGAGTTGCTGTATTTTTATTAATGTGTGTTTTTAAAGTTCTGGGTGTTGAGCTTATCCATTAAAAAATTTTGGAAATTTGTGAGTTTGACCTTATTTTTACTAAATACTTCCCAAAGTAAGCTAAGTGATGACCTAGAACCTGGGCTACTGTTCTACTTCCATCTGTAGTCCCCACCTCAGAAATGACAGACAAAAAGAAGAAACAAAAACCTGCCATTTACCCACACAGTTGTAAGGAAAAGGGTAACACAGATAAATTATTCCCTTTAGTAAAAGAATATAGTAAATCCAGATAGATGTGTTAAATGTTTTTTACTAGATGTCAGTAACTACTGTATGATGACATACAGGATTCTACCCCAATTTTTGTTGCAGAATTATTTTGATGTAATTTGCCACTGAGATTTTCTTAGGAATTATATCTCTCTTGAAGACTATTTCTACTCTGCAACAGAATTTCAAACTACTAATAACATCTGGGATCAAATGCAGACATGAAATCCAAAATGAATTGAGCCTATTTAGGTACAGGCCTAACAACTAATTCTGTTCTAGATGTTCATAATCAGGGCTTCAAACCGGTTCATTCTTATGTTTACGTAAGAATCACCTGAGGAGCTTGTTAAATTTAGATTCTGATTCAGTATAACTGGGATAAAAATGCGAATTCTCAGCAGGCAGTTAAACTTGAATGAACCAAACTGGTTCATAATTCAGTGCAGAACTGAGGACCATATACAGTCTGAAGTTAACCAGTTTTAGTATTTGAAGGCAGAAGAGTAACAAGAATTTACATTTTAAAGGAAAGACAGTTGTTTAACACAAGTGAATCACCTCGATGTGAACCATTACTATCCAGTAAAATACTTTTTTCCCCATAGTTTATAAAGCTATGTAATTCATATATTCATCCCATTCTATTGCTAGGCATTTATAAAGGAAATAATCAGTGACTCAAAGATACATGTAGGATATGTTCATGGCAAATAAGTGAAAAATGCAAACTAAATGTCCAAGAATAGTGAAGTGGTTAAAGAGATTGAACCCAAAGAAACCCACTGCAGTCAAGTGCATTCCAACTCAACCGACTTTACATGGCACAGCAGAACTGCTCCACAGGGTTTCCAAGGCTGTAATCTTTACTGAGGAGCTCTGGTAGCATAGTGGCTAAGTCACTTGCCTGCTAACCAGACGGCTGGCGGTTCAAACCCACCAGCCACTCCTCGGAAGGAAAGTTGGGCAATCCTACTTCCGTAGTGATACTGCCTCGGAAACCCAAGGAGGGGTCACTATGAGTCGGGGCCGACTCGATGGCACATAACAACAACAACAACAATCTTTACTGAAACAGACTGCTAGGTATTTCTCCTAAGAAGCAGTTGGTGGATTCAAACCACCAACTTTTCAATTGATAGTCGATAGTCAAGTGCTTAACCACTGTGCCACTAAATAGTTGTTAGAAATAGGGCTAAATAGTTGTTAGAAATTATATGGAAAACTAACATAAAAATGCAAATTTGGTGGAACAGATCACAAACTATACAGTATGATCTAGATCATACAGCCATGTGCACATGACAAAGCACAATTTTTACTTTCCTCATACCACTAAAAGTTTTAATTGGTTATTTTTGCCTCACAGTAAAAAAAATTTCAATGATTTACCTTCCTTAGCCGCTTGTTATATAGATATCAAAGTTCTATATTACCAAACAGAAGTTGCGAAGGCAATTATCTATTTTAACTGCTTATATTTAACGTAAGAACTAGCCTGAAGAAGTTGGGCTGATTACATAGCAGATACGTGGCAAAATCAGGACTTGGTCCCAAATCTCTTGATTCCTTATAGTGCTTTCTCCAGCATTAACATACTCTTATTATCAGGGTGGCGTGCAGTGGTTCCCAAGCAGATATCTAATGTACCATCAGGGAAGGGGCCGGCAAATTACCAAAAAAAAAAATTCAAAAGTGTGCTAAGCATTGACCGACTGTAAACTAAATCAACCTCCGTAAAAATTCAATGTATTAAGTTAAAAAAGGGTTTAATCTCGAAAACATTAGGAACCAGTGAAATGATAGAGAAACCATTCTTCATTATAAACTTTATATTAAAGCAAAGGAGGTATCTAAAGGATCAAGAAACGCACTATGATCACTAATACTGAAAAGCAATCGTGGTGTGTAATCCCCAAAACAATTCGAAGACTGTCGCCATGCCTCCTTCCCATCCCACAAACTACTGGCATTCTGATCTCTACTAGCGTTTAGTTTTATGAGCAAGCAGAATTCTAACCGAGGCAACAATCTAGGAAGTCTTCTAAACTCCCCTCACAGAATGATCAAGAAACCTATTGCTGCGAATTTCTGCCAGAGGGTGGCGTAGCACCTAAGGCATTTGACTGCTAACCAGGAGGCTGGCGGTTCAAGCCCACCAGCCACTCTTCGGAAGGAAGGTTGGGTAATCTACTTCCATAGTGATACCGCCTGGGAAACCCAAGGAGGGGTCGCTATGAGTCGGATCCCACTCGACAGCAGTGAGTTTGGTTTTTGGTTTAGTACCAGACACAAAAGAAAATAAGTGGTCTTAATCGAGGTCCCACTTCCATACAGCAGTGCATTCCTGAAATGATCAAAGTATGGGGAAAGGGGAAAGCAACAAACCGTTCAGCTGTTTGTTCATGTCTCTTTGCAGAACCCAGAGAGTTAAACCACAAAACTATACATACCTTTTTCCCGGTCTTCTACACGCACCTTTTCGCAAGACAGGAAGCTGTCGCTTTGGGTTAGCTATGAGATGGGCCTCATGGGAGATGTAGTTCTAAGATGAAGTTCTTTGTGGGAAATGTAGTTTTAAGAGCAAAGTAGTGGTGGGGCGGGAAGGCTTGACGCTGAAACCTGTTTGACTTTTTCTAGTCCTGCCACGGTTTCTCCCCTCTCGACAAGGCAGACTCTGAGGTTTGTGGTAGTACAAGAAAAGAAAATAGGAGAAATTTAGTGCTGCGCTAAAGTAATAGGAAAGAGATAATTTTTCAAATGTCTGCTATCCTTATACAAAGACTAAGAGATTAAAAAATCCTGGCCCAATTTTGTACCTAGTTAAATTAATAGAAAGTTACCATAGAAAGACAACAGTTACGACTAGACTTCAGGTGAATATGATAATCTCAAAATAAACGAGGTGCCTGAGAGTGACCGAACAGAGCTGGGTAGTAGTGTCACTTCAGCACCATGGAGAGGTCATGAGTGTAGGATATCTATCTATCTACCTATCTATCTATTTATTTATTTGGCATGTTTTTGTATTCTGCCCCCATCCCCAAGTCTAGAGATGCTGGCCAAAATCTCAGAATTCCGGTTAGAAGATTGAGGAAATCTGGTGCTTTTGTCCAAATATAGCAGTCATTAATTAGTACAAAGGACTTATCCTGGTGTATAGAGATGAAAGTAGGTGGCAGAGGTGGTACCGAAAGGAAAAAGTTCTTTCCGAACTGCTTTAAAATGGAGCCACGTGTCAGAGTAAAAATTAAAATAAACAGGTATGTGGGAACATCACAGATAGGTAGGAAAAGGAACAGCAGTTAGAATTCGAATAATTGTGTCCCACAAATTTCGTGCTCAAATTCAACCGTCAGATCAAACTCACCCATTTTGTTCCTCCAGTTTCCTATCCAATTCTCTAGCCTTCCTTAAATTCCGGGGAGATGAGGGCACCAGAGCCTGAAGCAGGGTGGTGGGCATAGCCTCAAGGCATGAGAACTATTTGAGTAGTGAGGTGTGGGGAGGTAAAAAACAAAATTCATTGTAGTAGAGTCGATTCGACTCAAAACGATCCCATAGGACAGAGCAGAATTGTCCCATAGGATATCCAAGACTGTAATCTTTACGGGATGAGCCCTGGTGCACAGTGGTTAAAGCAATCGGCTGCTACTTGAAAAGTCAGTAATTCGAACCCACAGCCATTCTGTGGGAGCAAGACAGTGTCTACTTCCTTAAAGACTTAAGCCTTGGAAACCCTATCTGTCCTATAGGGTCGCTATGTGTAGGAATCTACTTAACGGCAGTGGGTTTGGCTGTTGATTTTAATCTTTATGGAAACAGTCTGCCACATCTTTTTCCAGCGGAGTGGCTGGTGGGTTCAAATCGCCTACCTTTCGGTTAGCAGTCAAAGGGTTAACCACTGCGGCACCAACTCTCCTTGGCTGGGAGGTGGGGACTCACAAATCACATTTTGCTGCAGCTTAGAGCTTGGGAACTCCCAAGCTTGATGAAAGTTCACTACCATAGCGCTCCCTCCCCAGTGTCTAACACCTGGAGCGAATGAGGAGGGAATGTCAAATCGAAATCTCAAAGATCAGTATAGCGGTTTCCCTCCACCTTCCATACTCCTCAGGCTTTCCGCTTTCCACATCCCCCCTCCTCCCCTCCGGGTCAGCGAGCTCCGCGCTTGCGCATTGCGCCCGTAGGCGGTTGGGTGGACTTAAGCCTGCCCCCTGAGAGAGCGGATTGGCCACTGGTGGGTCCGGACACTATCTCGCGCCAGTGGTGGGTGCACGTGCTGGGGGCTGGAGCAGCAATCACAGATATGGCGTCGTTATTTTGGGGAGGCGACGCAGGGACAGCGGAGAACGAGCGGCTGAACAGCCACGTAACCGCCACCAACCCGGGGAGGGGAAAAGGGTGGGGTTTAGAA